TGTATCCAGGAGAGAACGGGGCCAGCTGGACAAGGAACCCCCCCAAGGACCGAACCAAGCTTGAACCCGTGACCTTGTAACATGTAATCCAAGACTCTACCGTATGAGCAACTACCGGAAATGGAATGATCGTGTGATATGCCAGACTGGGGAGAACATCAGAACACCCGAGACCAACACCCCAAGCAAACCCTGTGAAACCTACAACCAACATACAACATCGTGGACTACCCTTGGGTGGTGCGCAGGCAGTGTCTGTAATAGTACCATGCATCAGCCCAAGGGGATGTGTGTCCAGCCGTGCGTCAATCTAACGCCCTGCCGGTGTCCATGCGCAAGGCTGCAGGTTTTTGTACGCAACCTCATACCACAATGCGCATTTCCAACCGGTCATCTAACCACTGAGCTACATCAACTGGACCAGTCATATCCGTGCCCAAGCCTCCAACGAGGGAGCATGCGGGAGCTGCACCCACCAGCAGGTGGGCGATACCGGCCAGGGGTCAGCCGGTAGCATCAGGACCGAGCTTCTTCGATGGGCCAGTCACTGTACCTCCCCTCCGGTCCCCTCCCCCTGTGAGCATCAGCAGTCTCTGCTCAATGTCACTCGGGGACAGGTAATTGAATTGGTTAGCCTTATAAAAAAGAAAAAGAACGAAAAAAAAAAGCAGAGTCAGCTTAGTGGTAGGTGGATAAGGGTAGGACCCCACAGGACGGCGGCAACCGGACCGGTTTTGGCTTTGCGGAAGTCGTCTGCTGACTGTTTCCACTCGGTCCGCGGCCCCCTTATTCCTACGTGGCCATAAATTGCCGTTTTTCAAAAGTCGGCCCATTTACCTACCTCTTGGGTGCGTACTCCGGCATATTCGGATGGAAGTCAGGCGCCTGCAAAGCGGACATGTAGCGGTCCAGTGTTCGGTCCAGCGGACCTAAGGCCGGACAAGGGTTGTTGTCGCACGCTGACCGTTGGGGCCTGGACCGCTACGAATCCCCCTCAGCGGCGCCCATCCGCGGACAAGTCTGTGGCCGCGGACTAGGCCGCGACCCCGTGGCCGCGGCCGCGCGGCCGCGCGGCTGCGCAGCGCCGTGGCGGCCGAAAGGGAGGTCCGTTCGGAAATCCAAAAACGGCTCCCGGCGGCGCATGAGCGTCCCTAGGCCCACGCACCGAAATTTTTTTTTATACTATTTTCTGGGGGGGTCAATTTTGGTCCCCTGTGAGGGTGAACACCCCCCGCCATTTCGCAAATTTCTCGAAGCGGGGTTGTTTGACAAGTCGCAAGGTACATGTAGGCAAAAAAAAAAAAAAATCCGGCAGCGGTTGGGGGGTTGGGGAGGGGGTTATTTTTTGGGGGGTTTTGTCGTGTGTTGGGGTGTCAAAAGGTGTGGGGTTCGAAATAGTGGGTTGGTGGGGCCCGTTGGGGGGGGCGTAAGGTGTCGTTTTCGGGTGCAGGCCCTTGGGGGGTGTAGGGTTTGGTTGCTGTTTGAGGGTGAAACCTATAATACAAAGCAAAACAACATCCCGCCCCCCCCGACTCCCCCCCATTGTCTACTTTTTTTTAAAGTGGGGGTAGCCTTCCCGAGCTTGCTAGTGGTGACTGCTCTTACCAGCATCACTAGCAACTTCTTGGGGTGTTTCACTGTTTCTTTTTATAAAAAAAAAAGAAAAAAAAAAAAACAATCGCCATATCCAACATCACTCAATAAGGAAAGAAATGAGGGAGGTACTCCAAATAAAGAGCAGGATTTACACAATCAGATGTCCATCTCGGACCATCTGTAATTATAAAACTGGGAGCGACAAAACTCACAGTTCCGAATTCAAGATTCCAAGCAGGACGGGAGAGGAAGTATCATACGCCCCAGCAACCCACGCTCTCTCTCTCTCTCTTCACCAACCCCCTTATCGTTCCCGTGCAGGCAGTCCGTTGCCTCGCACCTACCGGCAACTCAGAGCCATCACCCTGCTTAGCGCGAGTACGCACGCCGGATTCGCCCGTGCCCCGCAGTCCGTCGTGGCCGCACGCCAACCCCACACACTTGCAGCCAGCTAGTTAGATCGCCCAACTCCGAACTCACCTCTTCGGCGGCTCCTACTCGTTAGCTGATCCTCTCGACCGCACTAACCTTCCCAGATTTGGTTAGAGAGCGATTTTGTCGCGCTTCCAAAATTTATAGGTACTAGCATCAGCGCGCGATAGGAAGTGCCTGCGGTCGGCATGCCTGAGCCGCGGCGTGGGAGACGTAGCCACTCTCCACGCACCGATCCAGTCATGCACCGTTGTGGCCAATGAGACGAAGGGAGAGGGGCTGCGGGTTTCAGCGCGGTGAGAAACCAAGGGTGAGAAGATTACAGTTACACCCGCACTCGTAGAGGAAGGAACAAAGAAGAGATTACAATGGAGATTAAAATTAAGGTGCGGCGGGAGTAGAGTGCAGGACACAGCGTAGCAGAACGCGCGCGAGTAAGGAGCATCGTGCAGTTACCAAAAAGAAAGTACGCCGACCCCAATTTAAATCCTAATCGAATTAAAGTCGTAATTCCAACCGCTCCCGTATTTTCCCCAGCGTTCAAAATTCAAAAAGATTTTCCCGCGTGATGACCGCGCCGAAGTTCCCCTCCCCGTTCCCAACAGAAAAAGGAAGAGGCCGCGTCAACCGTTATTCCCGCGCTCACTAAGGCGCGTCCTAACTACCAACTGGCATGGGATCAAGTTTTCACCAAACAAAGAGAAAAAGAGGAAAAGAATGGGGTCACTTGTGTAACTGGATCATGCCCCTCCGTCCAACCCCAAAGTGCAAGCGAGCAAAAAGCCGCGCTAATCAGAAAATAGATTGTCACAAGTTTGCAACTGCAGCTTCTTTTCAATGGCTTTTGCTACTGTCCCAGGCTCGAAAAACTCTTTGTTTTTTTGTTTTTGTTTTTGTTTTTAAAGCTCTTACGGCATATACCGGTAAGATCACTTTTTAGGTTCGAGCACTTGTGATACGCAACCGCACGCCGCATGTAGCGTCCCGTACCTGTGGGGACACCAATAAGAGTAATTGGGTCGTGACCATGGATTTTGGGCGGGGGTTGAACCGCCAGGGCGAAACTGGGGTTCTCGACTCAGTCCCAAGGGTCGTCTTCGAAACTCTGGTCGGCTGGGGTAACTGTAAAATTCCAAAATTTAGACGGGCGGAAAGGTGGGGCATCGACAAAATTCCTCCCCATCGACTTAAGGATATAGAGGATTATAGACACAACTCTTTTTGCCACAGGATATGACCGCAAAGACTATACACAAGGACAACGGATCTACCGCTTTTCCTTTTACTTAGGTTCACGCCGCCCTTTCCGTGGGGGCCAAGGAGACAGGGGACACCCTAAGCATCCGAGTCAGGTCTGCAGGGCCCTTCCAAGTCATCAGACGGGGGCGGGAGCGGAGGTACCCAGGTCCGGAAGTTCGCTGGAAGACCCCTCGCGTTGTGGGAGCGGATCTACCGCTTTTCCCTTACTTAGGTTCACGCCGCCCTTTTCATGGGGGCCGAGGAGACGGGGGACAGCCTAAGCATCCGAGTCAGGTCTGCAGGGCCCTTCCAAGTCATCTGACAGGGGCGGGAGCGGAGGTACCCAGGTCCGGAAGTTCGCTGGAAGAGCCCTCGCGTTGTGGGAGAGATCTTAGAACCGGACGGACTCTTGGTACCCCAGCACCAACCTCCGACAAAGACACGAGGCTTCCACGTGGAATACACTGTGGACCAGGGGAGCACTATCAGATCAGTATATGGAAAAATCAACAACGGGGAAGCAAACCGATCTATCAGCATTAACCCAGATCCCCCTATGTGAGATGCCTTTGATGGGTTATACAGGCTATGTGTCCCCCGCGGTCGGGATCTCAGCTGCCCCCGTGGACCGCCGCGGTTGGGTCGCAGCTGCGGGCCTTCGGGGATAACCGCTGATTTTTTGCTATTTTAAAAAATAAAAATTTATTAAAAAACGAAAACTGTTAAAAAAAAAAGATAAGAATACACAAAATCTTCGGCGATTTTTCCGCACCGAATAAATGGGAACCGCTGATTTTTTGGTATTTAAAAAAATAAAAAACAAAAACTGTTTAAAAAAAAAGATAAGAGTACACAAAAATGAGGCTTCCACGTGCCATACACTGCGGACCAGGGGAGCACTGTCGGATCAGTATATGGCAAAATCAACAACGGAGAAGCCAACCGATCTATCAGCACGAACCCCGATCCCCCTATGTGTCTCCCGCGGTTGCAACCGCGCGGTTGCAACCGCGGGGTCTATCCCAGCCCGTGGTCGGGACTGCAGCTGGGTTGCTTTTTTTTTTCTTTTTAAAAAAAAAAAAAAAAAAACAGGGCGTTATGGACCTGACTCCTTCTGTCAGTTTCTTTCTACCGTTTTTTGGCTTCTTTTTGGTCCCTCCTTTGAGTTGAAGCTGAGACGTTCTGTTGTTACTAAATGTTGACGAGTTTGAGGTTGGACAGTGGTGGCCTGTAGATTCAGTTGTTTTCTTTTTTTAGTTAATGTTTTTAGTCTGTAGGTACGACGAAGGTACTGGACGGACAGAGCAAAGACAGTGGTTCGACTGATTTTGTGACATAGACTGCTTGACTGACCACACGGCATAGACTGCTATAAGACACAAGATGAACAAGTCTCGTCGCACTTTGCGACGACGACCAAGACCCCTGAAGAGGGCTGGAATTGCGGGCCAGCCGAAACATGTCGGGTCCAGGCCGCAGCACTTTTTCTGCAATATTTTAAATGTCGCGTCCGGGATTTTTTCAGATTGTGTCTCTTCCTCTTTCTTCTTCTTCTTCCTCTTCTTCCTCCTTCTCTTTCTCCCCCCTCCTCTCTCTCTCTCTCTCGGTTGTGCTAATTGTCTTTGGTTTGAGTCGTTGCTTGCTGATGGTTGATGATACTCTGTTTGAAGTACTACAACTACTTTCATTCACGGAGTAACCACCGTAGGGGTTATACTACGTGTTTAGGTGGCTTCGGCTGGTCCATTATTCATCATCACCATGGTGTCTGCTCCCAACACCACTGTGGTTAGGACATGCTAAAACTGCGGGGATCCAGGTCACTTTGGCCGTTGGTGCCCCCACCCACGACCTACTAACCCTCAAACGGCGATAGTTCCTGCACACAATTCACCGCTAACACTTCCTTCTAGTTCGTCCGCGGCAACATCGATTGCTTCGACTGTACCGAATTTGTTGACGGTAGGACAGTATGCGAAGGGCTACGGGTGGCACCAGACCAAGCAGCGGCTGGAGTACCTAGCGCAGGCGGTCATCGAAATGAAGATCAGGCACGACGCGGAAGTGGAGAAAGAGAAGAAGAGAGCGGCAGACGAAGAGAAAGTAAAGAAAGAGAAGGAAGAAGAAGCGAAGAGAGAACAGGAGAGGAAGAATCAGGAGGAGTTCCAGAAAGAGCTCAAAGACTCGGTACAACAGCAGTTGGCGGGTGTCGTTGAACTGGTCCAGGGCAAGAAGGGAGGAGTCAAGATAGATTCATAGGTTGAGACGTTGAAAAAGGAAATAAAGAGATTGAAGAACACACGGTGTAAGGCGTCCACAAGTACGAACAAGGTCTGCCTGCAGGAGAATAGTGACGGGCTGATCGCAAAGATGTTGGCAGAGCAGGAAAAAATGAGAGTGCAATTGGAGGAGGCTGTATCGACGAGACAGCGGTTGGAACAAATTGAGAAGGAGATGAGAGAGGTGAACATGGCGAGAGATGACGCTAAAGCGGAGGCGGAGAGATGGCAGCAGGAGGCCCTAAGGCCTGGTAACAAACGCGGGTGCATCTCATTGACCACTCCGGCTTCTAGAACATCCGTACGGCCGCCAGCAGGGACTCTGGGGAAATCCCCAGCTATTATCGATTACAAGAGCATGGTGGAGATGCATCGAATGGAGGTCGAAACAATCGAAGTCAATGCAAGGAGGAAGGCGGAACAAGAATTGGAAAGGATGAAGGAAAAGATGCTATCAATGGAGAAACAGAAGGAGAAAGGCCGTGAGACACCACGGTCAAACTTACGCATTCGTATGGAGGAAGTGGCGGTGGAGAAAGTTACCGAGCACAACTTACCAATCACGAGCGCATCCAAAGTAACGGACAAGGAGGCATTTATTCGTGATAATCATAAAACACTGAAACTGCTTACGAAGGATGGATTGACGGCGATCTGCGAGAAGGAAGGCGTGAAGTATGCAGGGGTCAAACAAACAGTGGAAGACATTATTGCGCGTCGAGTTGCAGTGGCTTTTCCAGAAGCCAAGAAGGCGGTCGTTGATGTGTCTGAAGACCTGGCAGATGCCGGGGGAGACTCCTCTACTTCTTAGGGTCTCTCCCGGACGTGGCGCGCTATTGGAATCTGGCTCGTTCCTTATGTAAGTTACGGACGGATCTTTCATTATTACGGAGCAGACTATTGAATACGTTATTACAGACGGTAGTAATCTATCTTATTTTGAATGAATGTATTCCGTGGGCGGATAAGTTTCCCAGTAGTATTTGTGAGAGTTGGAAGCGAAAGGGAGTGGTTGATGATGACGCGTCAGTAGTCTATGTTTTGATATCCCCATGGCATAAACACGTATATATTGGCAGTATAGCACGTAGCTTGTCCATACGATGGAATGAGCATGTCTATAGGGCAACTAGTGACAGGCTGGTCAACGGTGGAACTCGGAATGAACGACTCTATAGTTGGCTGCGACGTTGTGGTGTTGAGGGATACGTGGCAATTCCTATACGGTGTTGTACGATTGAGGAACTGATTGTTGTTGAAAAGTGTTGTATTAGAACCTTTTGCCCGGCATTGAACACTCGTGATAAACCCAAACGTTGTAGGGAGCGTCTAAGGAAAAATAGGAAAGTCACGAAAGTCAATGGAAATGATTTTGCGGCCACTGGTAAGAAACAGGTTCTCATAATATTAGAATTTCATTCGTTCGTACGAATTGTATCGTGTAGCCTTCTGAAGATACTGGACTACTGCCGGGATAATAACATTTCAACAGTAACAATTGTATGTCGTGGTGGTAATATCTTATTGGATACTTGGAAAGTCGTGAAGCGGTGTTACGGTGGCTCGATTGTTTCTTGTGTGTTTGGAAATGGTCTTCTGCGTTCATCAAAGGAGTGGCTGAAGGATAACGTGGTGGTCACTTTTTCCACAATTCATCCCTTCTGTCGGAAATATTTGGCCCTTAAGGCACCCCTATCGAAGCTGTTGAGTGATCCCATGAGTAGGCGAACCCTTATCACATGGGACCTGGACTCCTTGATTAATGCATTCTCGGCCATCCGTTCTTTTTCTGAGAAACGTACACGCAGTTGTCTTCGTCTCATTTTATCTAAGTGTATCTCCTCTCGTTTTCATATTCCAGTAAGAAAGAGGCTGGAGTTCAAAATCTCGTATGATGAGATATTTTGCAAGTCTGAGATTCGGAGGGTATGTTCACAGCTTATCGTGAGGCTAGACATTGAAGACTCTTGGAGGTGGATGTTATGTCGTAGGCTGCAGGTGGTGTGGTGTCGAAACAAGACAGTCGGTGATTATTTGCATAATTTTTTATCCTTTTCGAAGACAGATGAGTATGAGTGCCCCTGTCACATCATAGACTCCTCCTTCCCTCGACTCGATGGGCATGTTTCATTCAAGATTAGTTGTCTGGACTCTGGACTCCTTTCCATCATGGATGAGAAATTCGAAGAATATTATCCGTCCAGCGTTAGATAACCCCTGCAGAGTGTTAAGAAGACAGATCGGGAAATCTTTTCTATCTTTTCCAGAATTGCGGGCTGACCGGGTCGTTAGGAGTCTCTCTCCGATAGGGGTTCGTTCCTGTCTAAATCACGAAGCAAGGCAGTCGGTGGGTGATTGCGCGCTAAATGTGCTGGAACAGCAGATAGCAAAGCTCAAGGGCTTGGTGCGATGCCCGATAGATCACAACCCCGACGATTCGTACGTATGTTGTCCGCTGCTATATGGTAGAGGGATGTCTACGCTTTTTTCTACCAATCCCAGTTTCGTTCTGAGTGAAGAGGAGACGGATCTTGTGCTTGACAAATATAAAAAGCAGTTCGTTGAGGAGGATTTTGAAAAAGTAGGGAAGTGGAACCCTAAGGAAAAGTTTGGAGATGCTTACTGTTCACCTAAACACAAGGATATTGAGCGGTGGAGGCCGATATGTCCACCGAACAGTGAAGGGGGTGCACTATGTGGCAAACGTATGGCGTACGCTATCAATGCTTTATTGTGGAAGCTGCCGGACAATATGCATTTTAATTTACGCTGCACTGCTGATTTTGTGACAGGCGTCCAAGCGATTAATAAGAAGGTGAAAGGTAAAGATCGATTTTTTGGTGCTTCTTTTGACGTGAAAGAGATGTTCTCGCATCTCCCGCGTACTTCGATTTTGAAGGCACTTGACTGGGTAATCGATTATTGGATTAGTGAGGGTTTTCGTGGCACTATGGTTAGAAAGCACGGTAAGATTGCTCGGCTAACCAAAGGGAGTGGTGAAGAGGGTTGGTTGTTGTTGAAGTTTTCAGTTATCCGGAAATACGTTATTTTTGAGTTAAGTAATACATTTGTTCGTGCATCAGGTCGCTTGCTGCGACAGACAAAGGGCATTCCGATGGGCAAATCGACCAGCCCAGCCCTCGCATGTCTGCTATGTGCCCACAACGAATTTGTTTTCTTGTCTTCTTTGGGTAGCGGCCGTAGGTTGGTAAGTGGCTTCCGCATTGTAGATGTCTCCATCTTCATTAAGTACTCGTCAGAAGATCCAAAAACGTTGACTGTGGCACAGGAGATTGTTGGTCTTTTTAGAAACTGTTATGATCCAGAATTGGTCTTGGAGCAGACGAATGAGGGAGATGCCTAGGATTTCATTGGCTGTGTGGTGAAAGTTTTCACCGGAAGGATCGCATGTATAGCAACACGTAAGAACCAGAGGGTGATCTCGGACTTCGAACTTGTCTTCCACAGTCTGCAGGATTTCTCCTCATATTCAAGCCGACAGCAAAAAAATGCGGTAATTATTTCGTTTCTGCATCGTGCTCGTACCTTTACTACTGTGCCCGGTCTGGAATTCGCGTTTCTCCTAACACTTAAGCATGAACTGAACCTTCGAGGCTACCCTGATGACTACTTTGACACCGCCTTCTTGAATTTCTCTCGGAAGTTTGCAGACTGTTGGAGTTGTTGGAGAGGGGTGCTGACTAACTGGTCCCGACTGTTTCCAGATGAGCGGAGTCGTCGAAAAACGATAATACACAGGTCCGGCGGGTTAGGGCCTGGATGAGCAAGTGGTGGCAGGCAGGGGGACCCTTTGTCTTGTTTAGACCCCTGCCGCGTGACTTTTGAGATAGGCAGGGGGACCCTTTGCTTTGGCCCCGGCAACCTTTTATCTTTTGAGGGCTAGTGATCTACCGACATTTTCTATAGTATTGTTTTGTCCTTTTCTCGAGGTTGGCTGAAAAGGAGTAGTCGTTGAACTGCAACAAGTGATATAGCACAAGAGGAGAGTAAGAAAAATCAAAAATTAAACAAAAAAGTTGTATGACGGTATTGTTAGCCATTCATGAAGGGCGTCGGTTGGATTGGAAGGTTCGAACCCGCATCGTAGAGGCTTTAACTTTTTAGATTTTTAGATTTTTTGTGGATCGTCTGAAATAAGATGTTACGATATCTCCTGCACGTGCAACCTCCCTTGTATGCTCCCTTTGGTCCTTCCTTTGAGTTAAAGCTGAGATGTTCTTTTGTTACTAAATGTTGACGAGTTTGAGGTTGGACAGTGGTGGCCTGTAGATTCAGTTGTTTTCTTTTTTTAGTTAATGTTTTTAGTCTGTAGGTA